ACGACTGATGAACCGGAACGTCTACTTAAACCTTAAACTCAGTAGATTGACGGGATTTCAGACAAGTGCGAACAGGGCCGGCCTTAGAGCCGCAAGCGCCCTGGGCAAACTGCGGCCGTGGCGCCCCCCCCCCCCCCCCTTTATTTTCGCATCCAACATCACGTTGTTAGTAAACATGCCAGAGTGGCCCAGCGCAAATGGTCGCGACTTCGTCGTTGTAGTCGAGAACCACATGCATTCTAAAAACGAACGACGCTACTCTATATTCGCAGGCTCTTGGCTGACTATGGCGTCCCGGATTTGTGGTGTCAGCTTGTTACAATGCAGGATCAGACAGTTCGTCGCTGGCGGCCTTTATCTCATTCGATGTGTCATCACCATATTGTTAAGTGTCACAGACTACTGTGGCAGTCGAGCACTCGGCGTCGTCGGGATATTGCTGCGGCATCTCACTTTCCTTTGTATGGGAATAATCTTCGCTTGTCGAGCTCTTTTCGCGCAATTTTTCTCCCTCTGCTGGTTCACTGGTACTTGAAGGCGCTCGTGTACTTTCATATACCTTCTCAGGGCATCTGCGCTCATCCTGGATTTGGCATCTTGTTCAAATTTTCTTTTCTGTACTGCGCTCCTGATGGTTTCTCTCGAGGAAGAAGCATATCACTGACATTTTTACCATCAGACTAAATATAAAATTTACATCAGCCATCCTGACCCGTAATGCATATCGTAATAATACCTAAAACATAAGCTGCCTGGTGGTGATTCATAGTAATAAAAACCCGATACTCGAGAATAGAAAATTGATAGTGTACAAGTCTACAGTCTACATCAATCTCTGCATTTTCACTCTACAGTTTGTAGACTAAAAATGTGACCTCCGTAGATCCCACAATAGTTTTGAGCAGCTCTTGGCACCTGTGTATGCCGTACCGTAGGCATAGCACTTGATTACGTGATACGGACCTTGAAGGTCAAAGTAAACGCAAAGAAGAGTTGCCGAACCGATGAAAATTCGCCCAGTTTACTTTCAGCAACACGTGCACTCTGAGCTTTAACAATTAAAACTCTGGAAACTAGCAGTCATTACGTAATCATATGTTCGTGTCACGACAATTGAGTTTAAGCTACTCAGGTGTGCACGCACAGTGATATAGGGGTTACGCAGTGATCAGTCCACTGCATGGAATTGGAACAAATGCACTTCAGGATCTCCCTGCCAATATAAGGCGAATACAATAATGCAATGTCGTATCTTGACAAATGAAATGGTCAGTCTTTCACTAACTGAAAACAGTAATGAAAGAGATCGGCATCAGTGTTGCCAGTTTCGCAGTTTTCCCGCAGTTTTCCCGCTGACATCTTTTTTTTAATACCACCTGTTGCCCCCAGTTTTTAGACTAAAAAGTAAAAGAAGAGCACCTTTTACAATATTTTCTATATTTATGCGTATTCTAAAATAATCAAAAAAATAAAATGCGTTAAAAGTCATTCTTGTGCAACATTATAAATTTAGCGGTTTTCGGGATTCTTGCGGTGGGTTTCTGAATTTTGAGATGGCAAGACTAATCGGCATGGCGAGTACGTAGTTATCGCTGGTCGCTCACACACACACACAAAAAAGAAAGACCTGCGGATCCAAAGTTCTTTACACATATTATTTTCAGTCGGCGGCCCTTTCGGCGCCCCCCTATGAATGGCGCCCTGTGCGCCTGCACAGGTCGCCCAACCCAAAGGCCGGCCCTGAGTGCGAATAACTGCAAAACGAACTACCGAGAAAAATCGGTAAATTGCGAGAATGGTGTTGTGTACGAGATACCACTGGAATGCGGGTTTAAGTATGTAGGACAGACATCACGATGCATCAACGACAGATTAAGTGAACACAAAAGAAACGCTCAAAATTAAATCTGCGCTATGGCATTACGCAATGCAAGTATGACGCTTTGCATTGCGTAATGCAAGTATGACGCTTTGCATTGCGTAATGCCACAGCGCAGACTTCATTTTTAGATCTAAACGGATGTTCCGCCTGATCATTCGCTCAGCTGATTTCGTAGATCGCAAAAGATTGGCTCTACGAGTGTTTTGCGGGTTAGTAGACGCGCAGGCATTTTTCGGAGTGTACTTCTCGTGCATACAGTCCCGCACGCTTCCGGGCTAAATCGGCGGGCAACGGAGAAAAGCTCACGGGAGAAAAGCTCACCAGAGAATAGCTCACCGGAGAAAAACTCACCGAAAAACCGGCAGATGTGGAAAAAAGCTCACCGGCCTTTGAGAAAATCAAAAAAAAAAAAAAAAGCTCACCATTTTTTTTTAGCTTAGCCGGATTCTGCGTTACACGTGGCAATTTAGCACAATTAGAATTCGTCACTTCAATAAAAATTATTGTCATATTTTTGTAATATCCTTGAAGTTCATTAGGATTACAATTAGTAATCACCCATTTGGTATATTAATGACGCCGCAAGTATAAAATCAGAACATCGGACACTCGTAAAAAAGACAACAATTTATTGGCAGCTTGACAGTGCGCTATCGGTAGTTTTGTCAGATAAGCGTATCTGTTTTTTTGCGAGCTAAAACGAATAGCGGTGTGTGAGCCGTTTCAGCTCCGAAGATTGTGAGGTGCCTGATAGATAAATGGGTGTTTGTTGATGTAATTAGTGTTGGCTAGGCTGTTTCCTTTTTTTCACAAATAAAACTTTAGTTGCGAGAACAGCTTCGTCCTGTTGTGTTTGAATTGTCTTCACTCTGCCTTCGTCCTTTGAGCCTTTTTCATCATGTATAACGTTTACCAACTGGCCCAATTTGCTATCTTACAGAATACTAATTGTTATATAGGTCACGAGTCACAGCGGTGACAGTGTGCAGCTCTGAAGGTCATGGGCGGCTCGCCGTAGAGTGGCACAATGACATAAAGGCAACGTGTGGAAACACCGGCACGAACGGTGCCTGAAATTCTCTTTGAAGCTTTTGTCAACCTTTGAAAACAGGATAGAAAACGTGCATGTCCGTGGAAGAACGAAACCTCGATATCGTACTGACCATTTGATTACGTTTTCAAAGGTTAACAAAAGCTTCAAATATAATTTCAGGTACCGCATTGTTCCGCATTCACTTTCGGATTTTCGGCTTACAGGTTTGCTCTTTTGGTTTAAGGCAGACATCACTAAGTTTTCGAACTTTTTCCTGTTTTTCAAGTTTATACAGTTTTCAGATAGGCTTTCGTTGCCTAGAGAGTAAACCACACAAAACAATCGCCCGCAATTATTTATTCCGGAGCAATATACCCAATACGTTTAAGAAATATTACAAAAAAGGACATTCTCTTTTCTACAAAGCTGACGAATTTTAATGATAATAAATTGATATATGTTAGGCATGATCCAACAGCCTCCATATGAAAAGAAGAAAAAAAAAAAGCGGTGAGCTTTTCTCCACATACGCTCAATGTCCGGTGAGCTCTTCTTTGAATCCGCCGGCTTTGCGGTGAGCTTTCCTCCAGGATTCAAAACGGCCAGTCGGAAGTTATATATATATATAAAAAAGCGGGTTCCCCCTCACCACTTTTTGCGGATCGTTTTTGCTCGTTCGTTTGGACCACACGTTGCAGCAGCAGGAATGATAACAATAATATCATAAAATCAATATATTTCATTATTGTTTTCCGAGTAGCCTTGAGGAAATAAATTATTTTACGAAAATAATATACTGAAGAAACCGTTCAGTATTCTAAAGTAACACATTTTACAACAATACTTTTCCTTCGATTATGAAGTACAAGATGGTTGAAAGACAGAAAGAGTAAATAGACGAAGATATTTATGTATGATCATTTAACTCCAGCACAAATAACTATTATTTTTATAAGTTGTTACAGACATAAATGAGGAAACGGTATGCTTTATGCTTGCGCCGAAACATCGTGGATCATCTGAAATCGTGTGCTCATTATTTTAAAAAAACGCCCCGCATATTTCGACTCGCAAAGTGGTTTTAGTCTTGTTTAATAAGAACCTTGTCATTCAAACACGCGTTTTTTTTTTTTCTTAAATTACTTATAAAGCAAGAAGGGGTTAATGTCAAAGCAACACATGTTTCTTTTTTTTTTTTCATGTCAATGTGTCCAGTTATAAGAAAATAGTTTATGTTTGAAATATTCGCCGTGATACAGCTAAAGCCTCCGAGATGATATTTGCTCATTCCTTTCTTTTATACTTTAAGTTATAAAGCATAATTGAGGTTATCATACAGCAAAGTGTGAGACTTTATTAAAGAATCCGGGATCCGGAAATTTTAAAGAAAAAAGAAATAATCATTATGGCACTTGATTTAAAATTCTGAATGAAAATGTGCCAAACACCGTTTCGCAAATCTTGCCGCTAAAACCATCTTGGAGAGCTTACATTTTTTTTACTACAAGTTTTTAGATAGGCTATGCGGAAGTACAGTCAGCGGTCAAATAAGCTGGCCTTGTTTATGTTACCTTAAAGGAGTAAAATGCCACATGGGGCGACTCCGGTAGGCTGAACTCTAAAACTGACTGCCGCATTTCGACAAACAGAAATGTAGCTTTCTATTCCGCTTTTTTTAACAGCTCGAAGCATTAATTTTTACACACTTTAATACTTCCTTGCCAGTTATGTTGTTAACTGAAAAAAACATAATATTAGTGTGCAGTGTGTATAGTCTACGCAACAAAATGTTGGTACGTAGTGAGCCCGGATTGCTTACTGACTTTACCCAATGTAATTTTTTTTTACTTGTTCCTCTGCTGTCGTTATTGTCGTTTTGTGATATAGCTGCACGATGTCGTATGAAAATAACTACAAAACACGAAAATACAACGACGTGCACTAAGCAGACTTCCGGGCTCCGTCCCACACGCCCCTTTGTATTTGGAAAACCCGACACAATGTGTTCTATGAAAGTAATGCAAAAAGGTATTATATCATTGTCATAACTGAATATATGACAACAAAAGACGCGGAAGATCTTACCAATCAGCGTCGGCCGCGCCACATTCACGAGTCCGAGAAAGAAATTGGCTCCTCCCATCATGACCGGCAGCAGATCAACGCCAAAGTCTTCGATGAGAATTGGTGCTTGAAGGGGCATCCGGAAGCCACTGCTCATTCCAATAAGCACCGAGCACATCATCATGGAGGGCAAGGCAAACACCCAGACCAGGATTTCGAATGCAATGGCCTGAATAAGAAAACCGATCAGCATGACGGCTTGTAGGGACAAGATATTGCGGTCAACGATGAAGCCCACGAGCGCCCTAAACGTGATATCTGCAGCAGAGAAGACGTACTGAATGTAGAGAACTTTGGATGCTGTCACTCCTCTGTCAGTAGCCAGATCTATGGACACAAGTATAAAGGTCGTAATGGAAACAATCAGCGCTGTAATCGAGATTGAGTCGATACAGAAGGACAATGTCAAAAAATGTGTAGCGATGGTTTTCCAACTGGAGATGCTGAACTTTTTCATCCCTAGCTTAGGCATTTTGTCCACTATAGTATGATTTACGCTTTTGAAAACTAAGTTTTTACTCGTGTCATCCTCTTCTCTAAGGGTAACCAAACCGTCTGAATTGTGTGCTTCGTCTGCAGGACCGAAGCGGTACTCCGTTCTCTTTGTTTTGTCGTCCGAAAGAGAGAATCTCTTTGTGACAGGCATGACTTTACTCCGTCGACGGAAAGTTACATTACGAAAACTGAAATGGAATGTTTTGGTACGAGTCACCCACGCTGGACTCTTGATGGGAATGGCTGCTGGAAATGCATTGAAGAGAACTGCACCTAAGAGAAGAAATGCCCCTCGCGAGCCGTACGTGGAGTAGAAGAATTGGACCAGCGGAGGAATAAGGAAACCATTGAGGCCAGTGACGGCCATGAGCAGGCTGAACGCGGTGTTCCTGCGCTTGTCGAAGTGTTGGGCCAAAATGGCGTTGATACTAACGAAGATTCCGGCCAAGGATAACCCTGAAAGAAAACAAAAACGGGGACTGTAATATCTGCTAATCAGACCAAACTTCAGACGCGCTGGGAGTGTCTGAAGCTATCAGCCGACAAAAACGCCCAACAAGGAACCTAAAAAAAACAGTGTGAACATAATCAGCTACCCGTTTCAGTTTCCATTGTATGTATAAATTCCTCTCAGATTTAGAGATTCTAGCTTTATATCATTAGCAACGATGGCTTCAAGCTTGAGAGAATTGTAAATAAAGACGTCTGTGTGCGAGCTCCAATACCGATATGACCTTTCTAATGACATTTTATATGTATGCGGAGCGTAAGTCCGTCTGCTTCTTGCACAGGGGTTGCGGTGATGTGAGAATGCCGAACCCATATCGCCTAATTGAAGAAAAAAAAATACTGGGTACGTAGACCCTCTAGGCACCTTCATTGAGGTCTCTACCCACAATCCTTCTAATTGAGCCAATCAGGACTCATCGTCGTTCTGACGTCATCGCAACCTCTGCGCAAGAAGCAGACGACTTGCCTTTCTCACAGCCATTCAGAGCTTAAGAACTGCAAAAAGTCATTGCTTATTAGGGGTGTGCGAATATTCGCCATTTTCGAATACCGAATCGAATATTACCCTATTCAAATTCGGAAATCGAATCGAACAATAAATTTTAAAAATGTCGAATATTTTTCGAATAATTTCGGAATAGTCGTTACGGTGTCGCGCCGCGAGATTCCCTTCCCAGGCGTCCCACAACGCGCCGGCACGCCTGTCATACGTGCCCGCAAGATGGAAATACGCACCCTCTTCTCCCAGACAATGACTGTCATCATGGGCAGCAGCAGTTCCTCTCTATACGTACGTTTCTGTTGCCTCCATTAGGGACCACCGTGTTAAGTATAACCCCTAGGTATAACCCGCATGTAAGCGATTTGCCGAGAGACGTGACAGGCGACGTCGACCCGCTTCGCTGTCGCTCGGTCAGTCGCGCGATGAGGCAAGCCGCATGAAAGTGGCGTGAGCAAGCGACCAAAGTGATGAGCGACGTTTTCTAGAAATCCAAACACCGAGCGACGTGACCTGAGAAATCGTCGCTAGCTGCTGACTCTCGTCGCTGTCGGTCGTCTCGTCGCTCGCTGAATCGCCTACATGCGGTTCAGCCTTTAGGGACCACTTTCGCGCGAGATGCTCATGCACGCGTTCGGAAAGCTTGCCGAGGGGACGTTTTATAACTGGCGGAACAGTACCGCCGCTCTGTACGAACGAAGTAGAAGTGGTAGAAGCGGGAAGTTGTTCGAAGAGAAAGCGCAGTAGAGTGTGGAAGTTTTTCGGTCACTTCCATGTAACCAATTGAAGAAGAAACAACAGCTGCCTGCGTCGAGTCTTTCCCAACATTTTGCATGGTTGTTCCACTTGTTCAGTGTGGGAAAATGTTGCTCTTTGAGGGCGCAAGGGGAACAAGACAATGCGTTTTCCCAGAATCTTCTCAGATCAATGAAAACAAGGTTCCTGGACGTAAGCACACAGGCACATCACGCCCTTGCCACCTTCCTTGATCCTCAATTCAAGAATATCTGCTACAAGGGAAAAAAATAGAATGTAGAGTTCTTACCAAGTACAGTGCGTCAGGATGTACCAAGCTCAAGCGAACTGCGATTTTATGTTCAGCATTCGCGTGAACCGTGATATTATGTTTGGCATTCTAGTATTTTAGCAGCTTTTGTCTTTATTTCAATGTATACCGTTGAACTCTAGCCATTATCGCGTAGTAGAATTTTACAATATTTTAAGAAACATTTTGGAACAAAAGAAATAATTTTATAATCTCTTTGCTCTTCTTTAGTAGCTATCTACTTCCTATTCGGAAACCATTCGAAAATTATTCGATTCGTATTCGTATACGATTCGGTGCCACAATCATTCGATTCGTATTCGATTCGGTTTCAAAAATCCCTATTCGCACACCCCTATTGCTTATCTTCCCGCCCCTTGCTTTGTTATTCATTCTTTGGCGTTCCTACCATGCAACGCAGCAATCTGGTCGGCTGCGTTGCATGATCCCTATAGTCGTCGTTGACTATAGGGGTCTCGGGAAACTTGCATCGTCTCGAGGTTAACGTACCGGCACTGGGCCGAATATTTCGCTTCGGAATGCATTCTCGAGTTTTGTTTGCGCTTTTGAATTTTTTTTAAATCGAGCCTTACGTTTGACGAAGCTTAACCATTGTGTAACCTCAATAAAAAAAATGAAAGGCGTTTACAAATCTTTGGAATGCGAAATTAGAATGCAGCTCTTGAGGAGGAGAAGGGAAGGGTACGGGAAAGGGGTATGCCCCTTCTCCTCCTTTTTACCCTCTCCTCCTCCCCTTCACTTCCCTGCTCCTCCAATTCCGTTTCCCCGCGAAATTTAGCGGGGAAAATGACGTCACAAGACTTGTTGTCACATCACCTGTGAACAAATTCAGTTTCTCTGCTAGATTTAACGGCGAAATCGACGTCGTGTGACCTCAACACAAATTCGATACCCCGCTAAATTTAGCGGGGAATTTAATTGGTGTTGAGGTCACGTAACGTTAATTTTCCCGCAAAATCTAGCGGAGAAACTGAATTCGTCCGCTAAATCTAGCGAAGAAACTAATTTTCCCGCTAAATTTAGCGTGAAATTGAATTGGTGTAGGTCACGTGACGTCAATTTTCCTGCTATATAAAGCGCGGTTACGGCGACGCCGACGCCGCGAAACCCGGAAACAGGTGCATAAGAGCTGCGCTTTAAAACGGTTATCTCTCTTCTATAGTGTGGTTCTATATTAGTTTGCGTCATAAATTGAGATTAACATATAAATTAGGCATGGGGGAATAGTGGTTTTGTCAAGTAGCGTCCCGTTATTCGTAGCCTTCGGAGTGTAAGGAAAGGTCCCGACAACTGGTTTTCTTTACAATGTTGAAGCTAGAAATGACAGAGCGCAATTATGTTCAAAGCCCACTATTCGGGCGCCCCTAACCTTAACGCACACTTTGAACAACCCATCATTTACTTATTGTTTATTATTGAATGGTAGAATGACTACGCGGAGCCCGCTAAACCTACAAGGAACATGCGAAGTGTGCTTAATCTCGTGGGAGCACTGTTGTAGCGGCATTTCATAAAAACACTGCATCGCACAGTGGAATAGCAGGCAAGTACGGATGGCGACCGGTTCGGGGACACCGCAGCACCGCCTCTCTCTCGCACGACAGTGCACAGGAGATTGCCGAAATCGTCCGTGATTGAATCGTTAAATCAGTAGGAACTGCTTGATTCATAACGCATGGAATGGTTTTTACCAAAACACCCCACTCCCAGACGTTTGTTCATCTATCTATCCGTCGGTCCGTGCTTTCCGCTAAATTCCCGCTGAATTCAGAGGCGAAATCGAAATTGTGCAAATTCAGGTCGCGTCACACAGGAAGAACTTTACTGATAACCTTCACGGAGAAATTCAAACGGTGTTTCAGTATACACAAATTTCATTTTCTCGCTGAATGTACAAAAAGAAAAAAAACTAAGACCAGGGCATATTCCCCGACCTCACGTGACGTAAAGTCAAGTGGCGTGACGACGTGACGAGATACGACTACTTGAAATGGTGACGTAACGTCACGCGACCACATATGTGACGTCGGGCGGCGTTGCGTTTATTAAAGAAACGTGCTTTTACACTTTCATAAGTCACTCATAACTCCTAGCGCAAGCTCGTTTCCTTCTTACGATGATGTCAGAACGGCGAACTCTTATTGGCTGATTGAAAAAAAAATAGCGGGTAGACCTCAAAGCATCTCTTGTATTGAGGTCTACCCACTATCCTTTCAATCAAAGCCAATCAGAGCTCGGCGTGGTTCTGACGTCACTGCAACTCCTGAGCAAAAAGACCTACTCTCCGCATGGTCCCTGACATCTTAAGAAAAGCCGGGGGTGGCTGATTATGTTTACGCTACTTCCTTTGTGATTTTTTTGGTGAGTTCTTGTCGGTTAATACCGCAGTACTATTATTGGCTGAAGAGCATTGATCAAATGCTCGGCCCCCGCACTACGCCTCGCATTTCGAAAGCTGTCAGGATCTATAAACAAAAGAGAAATATCGCTCGTTGAATGGAGCGCAGTATGCGTTAAAAGATTTTGAAGATGAAGGTTGCTGACAATATTTTTTTCTCTCTTTATCGGAAAGAGCGATTCGGTAATCGACGAGTTCATATCGTCACGTATGCATCCTCGTGTGACGTACACATCCGGCAGCTTTGCCGACCAACTGGCCTCAGAAGCTGGGGCGAAATCCACGACCCAGCGGCAATTTCGGCCTTGCACGGGCCTTCTCTCCCGCTTGGGCTGCTTTGTAGCACGATACGTTACGCAGTCGCTACCCTTCCTAAAAGCAATGGTCTAAAAGTGTAGTTAGTGTACTTCTAGTCAGAAAGGTGCTGTATTGAATATGTGCATGCCTTCTACTGAGACCGCAATATTGGAGCACACAAATTATAAGATTTCAGTATTCTTGTAATATGTTTTTTGCGAGTATAACGTAAATGAAATTTAAGTGCTCTACAAGGGAACTTTGAGTGAACTCTAAGTGGTCTTTCTTGATGGCTAGTTTGTAACTTTTCTATACGTAATTACTTTAATGGAGTGAGTTATGTTTTTTCTAATCAACCGTATAATTTCGTTTCCTTTGTCTCAAACATACATATAATATTTTGATCACGATTGCAGACATCTTACCATGTAAAGCTCCAAACATGATACTAAGGAAGAGGATTCCTCGAGCAAAGAAACAGATGCTGATCCCAAACCCAGTCAAGAGGCAGCAAACCAGGAGCACTGTTCTACAGGAGAGCCATCGGCAGAAAAGACCCATCAAGGCGCCTGCGTCAAAACATACGTCCATGAGATTGCTTGGGAAACTGCAGACGACTGGCTTGAAATACAAAACTATAGTAAGCGTTTTTTTTTTTTTTTTTTTGTTATTTGTACTACCAAACCCTAAAAGGGATCAGAAATCCCCAAGAGGATTCAAATTGCATTCGAGATACTTCCGACTATTCTTAGGCATTGGCAGTTCCTTGGAAAAAATAAAACTATCACTTGCTCTATCTAGTACAGCCGACTAATGACAGTCCTTCAATCGCGCCTTTGCTGTGAACTTTAGAGTGAAGATGTTTCTCACGTTCTCACGAATAAAGAAATTATTTTGTTTTACGTTAAATCAGTCTTATCGTGGTCTAATCACCGAGCATGTTCCATCATAGCTCGATCCTGAAACAATTATTAACATTTCACCCAAGAGCGCGAATGATTGTGCAATTTCTCCCAGAAATTTAACATATGCAAAAGAAAGCTTTTGTCTGTCATTATGAAGTGATGTTTATCTATATATGCTTCTGTAATTCGAGAGAAGCAAAAAATTCTTTAGTATTTGCTCTATGTATCTGTATAAAGCGAAATCAAGTATTGGTACGCTTACTATCGTTTGAGCATATAGGAGCCAGCAGCCGCGGAAAACAAATAGCAGATGAAAACGGTCGAGCGGCACAGAAGCGTAAGAACTAATCACCATACTTTTATATATAAGATCCGTTAATAAAATTAATTATAACATGTAGACTTCAGTCGGCAGTCTGGAGTGACTAGAGTGACAAACTGGCCATAGCTCGCGTTAGGTATCAAATTGTCCTTTGCTAATAAAACAGCCGGACATCCTTCAACCTTCGATACCGTGCAACATTCAAACATTACTTACTTGGGTTGTGGTTGGCTTACTCATAACTAGCTGCAAATTAGATCCTGCAAAAATGATATGTGGGGCCCACCGATGTCGCAGTCTACAGTTAAAAAAAATATATAGTATTTACTCACCTGCAAGGCACTTTGGAGAGCCAATCGCTTCAATCTACGGAGGATAAAATTATATTTAACCCTAAAGAAGCAGTCCCCTTTATGACACAGAGCATGATGTTCCACCCTGCCCAGTGCCAAAACGCAGACTGCTTGTTTTAGGTATAAACCCATTTTCAGCCTCAACATTTGCCGACTTCCTTCCGTATATTGCAGCGATTGCCTCTCTAAAGTGCTTTGCAGGAAAAGTAGGCGTTGCAGATTTGTTTCGAGTGTATGCAATTAAATTTTAGAGATATACGTTTTTCGTTTAAAGAGTTCAATCGTTTTCTCCCTTTCAAAATTCAGTCTGTTGGTGAAACGACGCTGAAATTTATATTTTTCTACTCATTTTGTAGCTGCCTATCCTGAGAACGTAAAAGCGAAGAACCCGTTTAACGAATGCCTTTAAAGATCTATCCTACCGGCTAAGTTGAGCAGGGAGTCGGGTAGCGTGACCGGCCAGGACGCCTCTTCGCGCGTGGTTCCGAACGTGTCGATGATGCCGTAGTAGAGGACACCAGAAGAGCACAGGCCGGACATGGCGAGGAAAAGCACCCAGCTGCAAAGCGCTGCCGTGATCCAACTCCAGCGACCGTCCAATCCGTAAACAGGGTCCGCCTTGAGGGGCCCCATGGTCCGGATGGCAGGGCGTTCAGCACAGCCAGGTGTACGTCTTCGCAATGTAAAAGCCGCTTACCAGCCGAAGGAACAATGCTTAGGCACCATCGATTACCACTCTGTAAGAAAACCAAAGATATGTTTTATTATTCTGTATAATACCCTCAAGCTACTTGAGATTAAAATGGGGTATAAAACGTACTCAATCCATGCAAAACTTTAATAACGCACGTATTACACAGAACATAAACTTATTGGGTGCTATGCATTTCACGCAATAAGTACAAGTGAATTAAGAAATAATATTGTGTTTTTAGGAATGAAATCTTGATACAAACGAGATCTGTTACTCACAGAAATGGCTACGTTTTAGTTGCGATCTGTACGTAAGGATTCTTATACCGATCAGGAAAAATGTTTTTTTTTTTTTTTGTTACATACAGAAGAATTGAAATGATAAATATCATAAAACAAGCACAAGAAAAATATATTCTGCTCGAAAACGAGTATGGGGATACATAACTATGCAACAAAGACTCAGACTCAAATATTAGAATAACGATTTAGAAACATAAAGCGAGCCGAGCAATTTCCCATGAACTCCAATAGAAAGATAAGTTTGAAACCATCATAGATGGATGGTGCTCGCCATGGCTTTGTGCTTACTACCGCTGCGTACAGAAAGAAAGCCAGTGTGATGGGTACTTGTTGTAGGCAAGATTTATGTTCCTTAAAGTATGGTCAGCGTTGTTAGTTAAACGTTGGATATGGAAATTATTTGTTATACTATGAGCTATGGCGAGGTCGATATGTATTTAAGACGCTAAACCCTTTAAAAATATTGTAATTTTAAAAAGATTTGACTTTCTCAAGGGGGTACCCATGTACTGTACATTGGTATTTTCTAGAACTAAGCTTTATCGAGGAGCGGTGACATATCATGTTCTTAATATCAGATTACAGCATACATGGCTCGCGGTTTCTAATGTATTAGCTAAATAATTTTACTGTGCATATCTTCAATGGATACAAGATACGCTAAGCTAGGTAAATATTATATATATATATTTAACAATAAAGTACTAAACTTAAAGAACGTCAGTGTTAACAAAGGCGTACACATTGTCAGTTTCCCTTATATATGTACAAAGTGAGATAAGTTAATAAAAAAACCTCTACTGAAGCTAATGTGTTATGAAAAAAAGAAGACATACGGAGCTTCTTAAATACAGGAACTTATAAATAATCCATTAAGATTATTTGAGAAATTTACAAATATACAGTGCATTTGGAAACCATGGTTAATGGTGGTATAAGAACTGTAGGTAAAGAAACGAATCTGAATTCTACATAATGATGATGGCTATCAAGATTCAAATTGACCTGGACTAAAAAAAGCTTTACAGGAGCAGTTTCTTGTAAAGATGGGAGAAACCTGCACGCTAAAGGAGCATAAAAACGTGTGAATAAAAAGTAGTTCAAATTGACTAAACAAACTTCATCAGCACATCCACCCTCCACACATTTGATAAAGCATCGGGCTAACTGGTTTGTTAGCGGCGTTTCTTAAGAATATAGATAGTCACGCCGTCGGGATTTTAAAGAATTTAGACGTAGTTGAAAACTACCAGAATACCTATATCAGTCTCTTCATTTAAACAATCAGGATGCTTGTATTTCTATTATGATTTAGCTTTAAAGCTAATTCATTTGATTGTGAAGGAGCGGCTACATAACAACTCCTTCACATCTTACAAATTAGAAACCATCAGCAGAAATCTGCCTACGCAAATTCTGAGCAACATTTAAGAGACCAAAGCAACGCGTCAAAGGAGTGGCAGATATTTAATTAATCGTGGTTCAGGTGCAGCACACGCTTTAGGGTATCTGCCCACAAGCTGTAACCAAAGGAACATTCCCGACTACTTATAATGCTTTCCAGGGTTTTCTGGGGAGGATTTAAGCAACTGGTTGAAATTCCAGGCTTTGTCACGTTGTACAACCACTGAGACTACTTGAAGCGATTTTGTGATGAAACGTTTTTCGGGTTTTCTAATTATCAAAATGGCGGGCTAAAACATTTTAGACAACAACCAAAAAAAGAGTGCACTTTTAAATGCGTCTTGGCATTGAACACAGCATATGTCACGCAATAAAATGCGGAGGTGTGTACATTCCTTCGAACCACGCGAGCCTTCAGAAACATTCACGGTTTGAACCGAGTGCACGACAAGACTGAAAGGATAAGTTGTGACCCAAAGCTATCCATAGTATGTGGTGAGGTAGAGAAGGCCAACCGAAACATTTTGCATCACATCAGTCACAACTTTCAAGCAATGCCCCTAATTGGCCAACATCGTCGTCAGAGCACCGAATTAAACTCTCTTGTAGGGGGTGGCAGCAAGATTTGTTCAAAGCGTTTCTCAGAAACGAACGCAGTATTCCCCGCTTTAGTGCCTTGGGATGGCAACTATCGTAAGGCAACACATGCTTAGGTGCATCTTTTTTATATCTCTTGGGTTTGAAAAGCTTTTTATATCTTAAAATCGAAGACCACCTGTTACACAAAATTCAGCAATGTGGAACAATTTGTGCGTTCGTTTTCATAAAAGAAATAAAATTGTGAACAATTCATGCGCAAGCGAGACGCTACGTAGCTGCAAATACAAGTAACAAATGCGGAGGACAATATGCATTCTCATTTGAAACGCCAGAGCCAGGCAGTCAAAAAAATATTAAAAAACAAAAATCAACTGAACAATTTTTTCAAAGTAGTACGGTTTCACATTATAAAAGCGGGGACTGCGGTTAAACCGTAAGGGTATTCTACTTCTCAAAAAGGTCTTATTTCAGATATAAAATTAATATGTTTGTTTGGAAATGGCACTTATTTAAAGCATGTTCAATAAAATATTCGAACAAACTGCTAAAGTAAACAAATAAAAATAAAAATAATAATATGTGTGCTTCTTTTACCAATTGTTCAAAAGTCTCTAATTTGCTCATATTTACGGGCGGCACATATTACGCTCGAAACCGAACATATTGATACCATATACAGGCTCTGACATTTCGAGAAACGCAACGCGAGGCGATTTCCGAACATTTTATCACAACTACGCAGCCAATAGGATAGCCGGATCAACCGATGACAGCAGGGAAACACGAAGCGTGGTCATAATGGCACACGCCCAGAGTTTTATAAGCGGTCAGTAGCTACAGAGTTCAATCATGTGACTGTTTCTATTCAGATTTGAGTCTTCACATCGTACTTTGACTTTTGTGTCACCGCCGTCCTGCTCCCCTTACTAAAATGGCTTCCGTACTTCAATTGGCGCTTCCCATTTCCTGTCACACATACCGGAGGTTTAGGCGAATACTTTCAAAGATCCCTCCAAATACGGTGGTTGCGGGAAAAAGAAGCTATTTTTGAGTCCAAACTGCTAGCCATGCGGAACGTCAGGGATTACGAGAAACGCGCTATGTAAGAACATAATTATCTTGAAATCACTAGCGTTTTACTTTCTAAAATTACACTTATGGCCAAAATTAAACATAAAATTAAACATATATTAAACAAAATAAACTTGCTGAGCGTCATCTGAATTCCCCAATCAATCAATTCTAGGAAGACTTAGAGCAAGCGTGGAACGTTACGCTGTACTAATAGCGAGTTTTAGTAGACCGTGTTTCCCGTTCCGCTAAGCCCCTCCGCTACCCGGAACTCTACAGCCAAGGCCATCGGCGCGCAGGCGCAGTGGCGGTTTCTTCGTAGCGGAGGGCTAGCGGAGCGGGAAACACGGTCTACTAAAACTCCCTAATATTACCACTATAGTGCAGCGGGCGCGAGGCTTGCGATGTGAAAACGCGGCTCACAAAGATACCATCCGCGTTTTCGCGTCGACAGCCTTAATTCCGCCTGCTGCACGAGTGAAAAATATAGCGCACCCTCACGTTTCACGCCTGCTTTAAAGGGATACTACAACGAAATTTTGGCGCTCATTTTATAGTCTATATGTGTTCAAAGGAGCAGTATCACATCGGACACACCAATATCTTGGTAAAAAAGACACGAAAAGAAAATTTAAAATGAATTAAACGATTAGCAAAGAGCACCTGGTGGATGTCGCTAACGGCTCGTTTGTAATGCCAGTCTAGGAACCTTGAGAGGTAGTGACGGTTATTGTCTCGCCTCCGGCCATGACGAGAGATGAGGGGAAGGAGGAACTCCCCTCTTCCCGAGAATGCCTTTTGTGTGTCGCAGAAGTCGCTATTGTCCCCCTACAAGATTATAGAAGACTAACCCGTCACTCAAAATTCGTACAAAAGCAGCCGCTTCGGTGGCTGGAACGACTAGGCCATCCTCTCGACGTCCGCGTCGCCGTAGCTTTGCTCGTCCCGAGACGAACAACGTCACGATTGCGTCGGACGTCACGTGCTCTAAGCTGGGCCTTCTCCGAGCGCTTGCCAGAGTGGGCCGTTTATAACAAAAAATACAGCCACCAGGCTTAAAATACAAACGCACGATTGTCATTCACGGATATTGTGGATCATATTCAACCTATATTTGAACACGACGGATATATTTCAAATTTTGTTGAAGTATCCCTTTAAAGGCGCCTTCACACCGGCGATGTGCCAGCCAGGAACGGACCCAAAACTCCGTTTTTTTTTTTTTTGTTTTTTTTGTTTTTTTTTTGAGGGGGGGGGGGGGGGAGATTGATAAGGACGGCACGTCTTTGATACGCGCCGCTCTGAAGTACTTGCTCGGAGGCTGACGGGCTAGCCTCAATGTCTCCTTTGCAGGCTTTCTTTTTTTTCTTCTGACAGTCATTCAACTAACCTTTTAAAGTAGCATAAACAGGACTCCTGTTGCGCCTTTTGTTTTAGCCGCCGCAGAACCACACTGCGCCGACGGCCCCTATAGATCTGCGCCGCTGCGCCGACTTATTGGCTCCAAGCCGTGCTTTGAAACCGCCGCCGCGGAATTCGGTTTTGGTTGAAGCGACGGAGTGGTTCTCCAAGTTCCGAGTACAAGTGTGCCTGAGGGTGAGACCTACCTTATTTTGAACCCTCGTCCATGAGTACCGAGCCTTCTACCACCTGACAGGCCGGTAGT